TCCAGCAGTGAAGATATTATTCCAAATCTTACAATGTCTTCACCATGCTTCGGTCATTTCAAAGCAAGTCAGTGATTCTCCCACACGTGGTTTTATCTCTAAAATTTCGGATCTCAATCGGTTTGTTAACCCAGCTTTAAAAAATTCTGCTATTTCCTCGGCTATCGAGACAGTAAATAATGTTTGGGCTAAAAACGTGGCGATAGCACTTAAGAATCATTATGATTCACAGCTGGCTGAAAAAATTTCCTTGATCAAAGCACGCAATATTTCGGAATCAAATTTTAAACAATTCACTTTCGAAGCAATAAATTGGACTAAGAAGTCATATCGCCGACTCCAAAAAGATACCCTTGATCAATTTGCTAAAATCATAGACTCTTTTAAAAACGTAGGTGTGGTGGAAGACATGGAAGCTGAATCTCAACCAGTTTCTACACCAAACAGACATCAGTTACCATTAATCGCAGATGTAAGACCTACGCCGAAACGCAAAAGGAACTCCATCACCTTCTGGCCTTAGTACCTCGCAAGAACCACTATCCATAAGCAAGAAACCTCACACTGATAGACGTACTTTACCATTACCAACTTTTACTGCAACTCCATCCACACCAATGACGACGCCAAGACCGAACCCTGAAACACCGAAACCTCAACGTACCAATACTCGCCGCCGCTTAAGTTTAACCACCTCACCCTCATCTCCAGCCTGTAAACCACGACGTCATAATAATGAGAAGGATAAATCCAAATGGTCTATTCCCACACTCACCAAACCAACAGTTATCATTGGATCTTCCAACATCAGCAACATCCCGTTCCTACATCCAGATACCCAAGCCGAATCTTACCCTGGTGCCCGAATTCAGCATATCAATACATTACTCTCCAAGATCACTCCAACAACCATTCCGAAAAAGGTGTTATTTCATGTTGGCCTAAATAATCAACAGGAATCAGGAGAATCCATACACAGAAGAATGCTGGAACTCCTCAAACTTGCCAAGTCGAAATTTCCGTCTGCTACCCTTTACGCCACACAGATTCCTTACTCAAAGGAGCTACAATAAGCTGAACCTCATTTAGTCAATAACCTCCAGAAGTTCAACAGTCTACTATATCATAAACCGTCTACCAATGCCCATACTATTCCTCGCTTCAATGGAGTGGTCAATGTCATTTCGGATAACATCCACTGGATGTCCCCCACTGCAAAAAGTATTTATTTTTCATGGGTCTCCCATTTAAACTGAACGCGGTGGGAAATGCTCTAAAATTAGGAAAACTTTCTCCCCTTGAAGAAAGAGTTTTAGATAGAGGTCTAACATTTATTCCGACATCTAAAACTCTTTCCCATGAACCAATTTTATCGTCGGTTGAACAAGTCAATAGGACTTTTAAGTTAAATTTCTTTTTTCGGAATAGACTCGGCAGAGGCAAGCGAATACCGTTCATTGAAAAGTCTGGTTGGACTCCACCAGACAGCGCGATTGACTCAGATATTTTGGCTACTTGCGATAAATTACATGAACAAATATCTCATTTACCTTTGGTGAATGAAAAACACAACCTCACCAAGTTTGAAAGGAAAGCTTTGAATAGCCTAAAAAACGATCAGAACATTATAATACGAAAGAGTGACAAGGGCAGTTGCTGTGTCATTCAGAATCGCGAAGACTACATTTTTGAATTAGAGAAACAATTGAACAATGCTAATCATTACCGTGTACTTGATCAACCTATTTTCATGGAAACTGCGCAAAAGATAAACAATATTTTAAAAACTTTAGTAAACAAACAATTTATTTCTGATTCCCAATATGACTATCTTTCAGCGAAAC